TGGCGAACTAATGTTCAGAAAGAAATATGTCTTTTAGATTTGATCCCTGATTCTTTCTAATTAATTTTCCAACTGATTTTGGGATTTGAATTTCAAGGAACATTTTTCACTTTTCCTCTTCTTGTCACCACTATAAGCTAACTTTTTTTTGTTTTTGCTTTTGCTTTTTTTTTTTTTTTTTTTGTCCTTTTTGTACATATTTATGTCGATCAACACTGTATAAGTTAATTAATGTCATGACTCATGATATATGTGTATTTACTTTGCACACCACATGTTCTATAATTTGCCTCAATGGGGTTAATGCTGTTTTATATTTGACTTGCGATGGGATCATGTCAAAGTTTTACTCGGAATTTGTTAAAGTTGATTTACAGTGAGTGGGATGTGATGGGTGGAGAGTTTAGTTGAAACTGAATTTTGTTTTCATGACGTTATAATTGATCTAAATATTGTATTTAACATTCAAATTTATAATTATTATATTTAATTTAAACAATGTATTTTAAAATGGATATAAGTAAAGTATATGAATCTAAAATACAGACTTTAAATTCAAATACACATCGCGCCAAACACATCAATTTAACTTTTGGTTATTGAAGGCAGTAGAGATTCTGTTGTAGGGCATATAGTTATAGCATTGCCTCCAAAGGGAGAGTGTCTCAACAAATAAATAAAGATCTCAAGTTCAAAAATTGAGATTGAGTGAGGAGGACTATTCTTGGTTATAATCCAATCGTCATTAGATGTATTGAACAAAATATGAAGTGTCATAGCATTAGCAAATGTTTGCTTGTTTCTTATTGATGAATGACAAGAAATGATGTGAAATTTGGTGTTGCAGAAGTGGATGCAAAGCAAGCAAAATTGTGATCTTTTCACGAGTGGAATTGCTCGAGTCAAAGTAGTTTGAGACAGGAGTATTGGAACGCAGTTATAATTCGGTTTGAGGTTGTCTTTGGGAACCGTGTCTGTATCAGCTTTTGTTGATATTGCTGAAACCGCATTTTTGATTGATTTCCAGATGTACATGAAAGACCGAATTTTGCTTGATATTTGGATCATTGAATTGCAGTCCATATCATTCGACTGTTATAATCATAGGCAGTTTTTCAAGGCAAGATAAGAGACTAGTTTTGTTATATATGATACAAATGGGATGTCAATTAACGTCTGCAAATAAATGAATATGCATGAAGGTAACTAAAAAACCACCCAGATGACGTGACAGGAAAAGCATACCAGCAGCACCGCTCAGAAAAACATCAATACTTTACTTTCATGGAAAAAGAGAATTCGTGCCATATAAACGTGTTATTGTGATAAAAGTTAACCAACCATGTGACAATTCTATTCTTGAATCACCTTGCGGACGAAGGAACGAACCTACACACTGGAGAGTTGATTAAATGTTGAATTTACTTTCTAGACAAGTTCACTACTTAGAACCTGCTCTCAAGTAAGGCTGAAGACAAACTTTCGATGTGGGGAAGACAATCAGTAGCTGGAACCCTGCTTAACAACAATGCCCCATTAACATTCATATACAGAAGCCCGACAAACCAAGCAGCTGATGTCTCCAGACTGATCAGTCCAGCCAAATATGTGTTAGCTCAAGTAAACACATGCACTAGTTCCCTGCTTCTTTGGCAACGTCTTTGTCATCATCTTTGGCAGCATCTAGGGCACTCTCTGTTACTAAAGCTGTCTCCTGATTCTTGGCAATTTGATCTGAACTAACATCATCGTTACCTGAGTCTGACAGCCTAGAAGAACTGGTACCAGGGCTTTCATCTTCTGCTTCATGTAAACTTTTTAGAGCAGTTAAATCACTATTGTCAGAGGATGATGGGGAAGGTCTAGTATCGTCTTCATCATGATGACCACCTTTGTCCTGGGGTTCAACTTGACCATTTGGCATGCTAACTGGGTCATCTTTACCACATCCTTCACTAGAATCCGGGTTTTCTCTCCATTCAACCCACACAGGTGGTTTATCACTTGCACTGGGTTCATTTTCTGTAGGATCTTCAGATGGGTCAAGGGTGGCATCTCCCAATTTAGCCTCTGGCACTGGAGAAGATGTTCCAGCATCATTCAAGTCATCATCTTTGCCAACAATAACCTCATAATCAACATCAGTATTTACAACATCAGCTCCCTCAGTCTGGGGTGATGGAGACGCAAGAGCACCAGCGGAGCACTCATTGGCAACTCTGTCATCCTCAAATGCAAACCAGTTGGAATTCGTGAAAAGAGAGCCACTGCACACACCAAAGCAGTCCAACACAATCAGATCGCACATTTCAATTATGTAAAAATACTGTCATTGACAGAGAAGTACTAACAACATCCATGATGATTGGTCTCTTAATGTGTCTCCCCAAATGCCACCTCATTCTCACCCACATTATTTCATTCAACCCACTCTTAAAAGACTCTCCACTCTAGTGTTAAGAGACCCATAAGAGACTTCTTAAAAGTTGCACCCACAATATTTTATTCAACCCACATCTTTATATTCATACCATTTGTCAAATAAATAAATAAGATGCGGTGGGACAACATTTTGTCAAAAAAAGGGCACAAAATGGCATAGAGGAGAAGAGGAACCATGCTTTCATTGACTGCCAACACATGGCGTAGTGCTCTTTAGTCTTCGCCAGACATGCAACAATCATGAGACCACATTTTCCTTTCTCTAGACCTATAAATAGTGGGGGTCTATAACTCTACATCCACAAACTCTTTTATGTTGAAATGGAGATAATCCCTATAAACTGAAAATGTAAAACGGGTTTCCATACACACAATCTCTAAAATGGAACAGGCAGTAAAAGGATAGGAAGTTTGAAGGTGGTTTCCACATACCTCTCTTGTTCGTCGCCTAGACGGAGAGAAGATATAACAACCTCAGCAGATTCATCATCAAAGTAAACATCCTGGGAAGCACAACCACATTAAACTTTCTTTTTTCATGATTGACAAGATGCCTACAAAAAAGTTCTAGACATTTGTGAAATCATAAAGCATTGAATACCTCATCGTCTCGTTCAAGTGAACCGTGTACCTGTTATCATGACAAGGAATCAACAAAAGAAAGATCAAGAGAATTAGAGGAGAAAAATAAACCAATAAAAGCTTTAATGGAGACAGAAGCTAAATCTTGACAAAGATGAATGAATGAATGCTACTAAAAGAGCAAATAACACAAAATAAATCTCAATCGTTGGAGTTTCTGCAATGAGACACTTCAACATATATGAACATTTCTTTGTAAGCCACCACAGCCAGGACAAATGTGAACAAGGCATTGACAGATCAGATCCTAACCATACACATATATCAGAGGAAATTAATTGGCATCTATTAGCAACTCTGAAGGTGAAAAATAGTATAAAGTAGCATCTAAAAAGGGAAAATCCATCCTTTGTAGAGAGTAGAGACGAAAGAACAGCTGGAATCCTTAAGAAGTAGCCGCTACATCCATCTTTCTTTCCAACTTTTCAGTCCCTAACTTCATATATGCAATAAATCTTCCCTTCCATAATTTTAGTTTGCCCATTTTCTTATTATATTTACCTCCATCGTATCTAATAAGATCAAAAGCACTACAACTGCACTACTCAGAATATTCTAAAAAGCACCTCATCCATATCATCGTTGCTGTAAACACCAAATCGAAATGCCTGGTTTAGGTTGTTTGCTAATGCTGCAACATCATAATCTCTATCGTGGTAATCATCATCATCACTATCCCTGGTCCGATCTTGCAAAGCAGTTGGCCTCCTGTTAAAATTGATGAAACCTTTATGAAATAACTGAAGAAAAATTCATTGTCGTCTGGAAATTGTGCAATCCATATGGATCATCTAGGTGCTTCCACCACAGACAACAAAATTTTAGTAACGTCTTAAAAGCTTCTATTTATCTAGAACATGCAATGGACAGGAGGAATGGAGCAACAGCTATATGAAGACAACCTACCCACAGGCCCACTGATAAACATTTTCTATCACATTACGCTTTGATAGGACATTCGCGTGCCAATCAGTCCATTCATTATTTTCCTGCCAAAGAAAAACACAAGAACTCAATATCTTTATTTGAAATAAATTACAGTACAATATTTTGCACCTTATTATCTTGCCAAATGACAGCATTCTACAGTAACAGATTTGAAATAAATAAAATAAAACATTAATAATGAGACCACCGTAAGATGATGCAAAATGTAAGCATGACTAAGTAATTCAGATAATGTGTAATTTAGGTCATGTAGTGGGCCAAAAAGGAGTGGAATTTAAATTGTGTCCAGAAAACAATTTTGCGACTAATTCACACATAAAAATGTAAAGAGTAGCCATGAGTAACTGAACCTTCTCAACCATACTAATCAAATTCCACTTCTAATTTCCTTAAGCAGAAAATTTAAAAATCTTTTAAGATGGACGAAGTTTTGCAAAATCAATTATCACTCCAGTCTGTGTTATTGAACTGAATAGGCAATGAAGACTATACCTGCAAATATGCCTGAACTTCAGCATTGTTATTACCGAGCTGAACAAGTTTGGTTGATACGTGTGTTAAGTGCCCAATATTTCCTATCTTGGGGGGTGACCTACCCTCAGCAGCAACTGTTGGCTGCAAGACATGAGAAAAGGAAAATTACAAACCTATTGAGCACAAAAATTTAGGAATAATAAGAAAAATTACCACAAGTGAGAAATGAAGACATGGAAAAAAAAGCCCCAGAAATGATATTTGATTAGAGAATGCCTGGATAGTGAACAGCCACCTTGCTTAGATCAGATGTCAGTTTGAAATTCTTTTCTGCTTCAAGTATTTTCCCCACAAGATCGCACTCATGAAGAAGATGCTCAACTAGAAACGCTTTTTTGCTCTCTAAACATGACACTACTATACTCTCTACATGGTGGTGCAAAAAGTTATTGTATGGGTACCTGCACTTACAATTAATTTAAGAAATAAGAACTAGAACCCAATCACAAATCATCAGAGAGCAGAAATTCTAAACCTACAAGAAGAACAAGTCCAAAATCTTCTGCAGTGCTCCCAATTGAATCAATTCCTTTTCAGCAGCTTCACTACCAACTGTCAGTAAGACAGAAATAAACTCTACAATCTGGAAAATAGAATGTCCAATAATGATCAGAAAATGTAGCAAATACTGGTCATAGGCTTTCTATGGAGTATGTAATTGATGATCTGAATTGAAGATTGCATAATATACCAAGTGAAACAATTGTATACATATTAAAGTGCCCAAACATCAGCAATAACCGACTCAAACAGGTGAAATCCAAACAAGACAGAAAATCTAATCCTAATACCCCAAGACTCAAAGAAATACCTTCAGACGGTGCTTTCCAAGAGGTGGTTGCAGTTTCCCATATGTAGTTGGTAAAGTGGTCTCCACAGATGAAACTTCCAAAAGCTTCAGCAATTCACCTGGAAGTTACAAACAATAGGACTAATTTAAGCTTCAGGCTTCAGCAGTTCACCTGGAAGTTACAAACATGAGAAGTAATTTGCGTTTTACCAAAAAGTAGGACTTTTGTTAAAAAAACAAACAAGTTGAAAAGCCTCACAATAAGTAATATGAGGGTTAAAGGGAGAAAAAAAAAAAAAAAAAAAAAGACAAGAAAAAGAAAAGAAAAAGGGAGATGTCATGCCCAAGAGAAAGTTGCTCTTTAACATCATCTTGACAACGTTCTTTCCCCAATTTTTGGAGGGCAGCTTCCAAGGGAGGAAAAAATGAAAAAATAACAGAACTGTAAGTATCAAGTAAGGGCACCTAGGCTCTCCAACATTCCTTCAACTGTTTCAGGGTTAGCAGTTATTGTGGACCCCTGAGTTAGTTGGCGATTATACATGTGATATGCTCCCAGCATTATCCTCTTAGGATCTAACAATGATATGCACACAGACAATGAATTGACCAGAACAGATTTTGGACGTGAATCTTCCAAAGCATGATGGAACAATCTTCCTACAAAACTGCAAAAAATCAAGCCAAAGAAATGAGCAAATATATAATGATTGGCAAACCAGAAACTTTAGGATCTTTTTAAGAAATGAGAAGAGACAGACACTACCTTGGGCTAGATATCTTAGCAGCAAGACCAGGAAGAGCAGAGCATGTTATGGCGCAAAGCATTTCAGCTGCATTAGCATGCACCTCAGGTGAATCCTGCAGAAAGCATTTCAAATAAATACCACTCAATGCCGCCATGCACTTTAATACATATTGACAACACAAGACACCTTAACCTCATGCAGAAGGCTCATTACTTGAACCACATCATTCCAATGCAGAAAAGTAAGATTTAGCATGATTTCAACAATCAGTTGCACTTACTGAAGAGCTGAACTTGTCAACAATCATGTCCAGTACATCCGTGTCCTCCATCCACTGCATTGAGTCCTTATGGCTTGAAAACATATGTTCATCAGCTCCAATTAGACGTATTAGAACCTGATTAACAAGAAAATTGTCACATGCTGACCCGTTTAATTGTATTCATTCAATCAAGAATAAACTTTAGATACAACTTTTGAAAATATTCAAAAATTTAATTCCAAACATAAGTGAAAATACTACGGAAATTAAGAAATTCTTGAACAATGTAGACAACCCATATTAAAAAAGAAGAAGAAGAAGAAGAAGAAGAAGTAAACCTCAAGAAATGAGCACGTTGAAGATGGAAATATATATTACCTGAATCTTGAAGAAGTTCATATATCAAAAGTAGAAAAGTCAACAAACACTAACCTCCATGATGGATGTTATACCAATCAGGTCAACAAGCTGCTTCACAATTTCTTGATGACTCTGGATGACAATAAGGACAACACATCAGCTCAAAAATATACAGAAATGAAATTCAAAAGGCTACTCAAGGACACAGCAGCCCCATGCTGTTAATAAAGCTTCAGATCTAGCAGAAAGTGTTCATAATTGGAACCCTGTCAGATTGTGAAAATTTAAGTTGGCTAAAATTTAAGTCTGCATAAAATTGTGAAAGTTGACTAGTACTGTTGTATGGCAATAATCATTCAAATTTTGAAAATAAATAAATAAACAAACAAATAACCTAGATTATGATAGGAAGACTAAAGAACCTTAACATTTACCTTAACATATTGCATAAATGGTACTGTCTTCCGCAACAGCAGACAAATGACAACCTAAGAATAAAAAGTTAGGGTATATAAAATCCAGGTGAAAGATAAACAATGTCCCTGAACTAAAATAAATAAATAAACAATAACAATGCATAAAACAACATTTTATTTCTTTTTCAAATCATATGCTACTAGCTAATCACCCAGTGGCCTAATGGTCCACTCTCCTTTGTGAGTGAGCTGTGATGGCACAAGTCCCCAGTTCAAACCCAAGCAACCCCACTCACATAACCACAAATAATGCCTTATTTCAAAAAAATAAAAAATAGTTGCTGCTATTTCAAGATAAACATAAAATACCTTGCTGAAGTAGCCAGCCAGCAATGTGCTATGGGAATGTTTTGAATCCAAAAAGGAAAATAACAAATTCATCAACTGCAATGAAATGAAGGCCAAAAATCTTATCATTTGTATGTGCTAAGAAAGTGAAATGCAGACAGTGAAAGGGAAAGAAAAAGAAGTCAATTCCTTACTTCCTCATCCTCAACTAATGTTTTGAGTATGATATCAACTTCACATGTAAAAATCTCACAAGCAATAAATGGAAACCTACACAATTGATGATATAAAGTATTAGGAACTGAATATACAGAAGAAAATCAGGTACAAAATATTTCCTATGGGTTGTTGACACCCACTTAAAAGTCTGACTCTTTTCAGCATCTTCTGGAGGTTCTTCCACAATATATCGAACTAATTGTTCAACCTGAGCCTTCTCTCGTAAGCTGAAAAAGGTGACAGTGTGCAAGGATGAAACAAAATATAAAGTAGCAAGAAATAAACTTTGACAAGTAATGAAGGAGAAGTAACTGGTGGGCATGAAAAGATTAGATGAAAATGCTACTAAAAGCATAAAGAATAAACATGCAAACATAAATGAATAGTTAGAAAATCGTACAAGTTAATAAGACGGGTATTTAGGGCTTTGCATTCTTGAATAATTTCATCCTCATCAAGAAGCTCCTCCAGGGTAAAATTTTCCTTATCCAAAATTGCCTCCACCTGCAATAACAAAGGGGATTTTTTTTTTTTTTTTTTTACCTTAAGCTAAACAGAAAAAAGTATGGTTTTTCTTCCTTATACTCTTAGTTAGAATTTTGATATAGTTTTGTTGTAAAGGTTATTGTTTGTGATAGGAAACCATTAGTTTGGCAAATTTTAACCATAAAAGAGAAAATGAAATGATAGAAACAAGTGAAGGGTCCCTCCCCTATCATGCAATAATATGAATATGATAAGAAGAGGATGAATTCAATTCAATTCAATTCAATTCAATTCAGTCAGTTGACACCCAACCCACACCCAGGATTAATGATGCGATGCTACCCTAAAGAAATGGAAACTCAAAAAAAGAAAAAAAAAATTGCATACTATACTGAAGAATTCCATTTCCAAATTCGAAGAATGAATGAAAGAATGAATGAGTTTAGGGAAAAAGAAGGAAAATTGATGGATGGATGGATGGATGGATGAATTATTAGGGAATTAAAAAAAGAAAAGAAAAGAGTACTCACAGGGGAGGTTGTGGACAAGCCAGCCATACGCCAAAACATGTTGAATTAGAATAGTAGTGTGGAAACAAGGGCAGATCTCGGCGGGCACAGAAGAAAACCCTAGAAATTAAGCAAAAGGAAGGAATCTCCTCCACCCAAATACTGCTTCCAAATTCATCAATTCGGAGATCTCATAACAAAGAAAACAAGAAGCAAAAGCATAAGCAATAAGCAATAAGCATAAGCCCCCCCCGTAATCGCGGAAGGGAGACAGGGGAGAGGGAAGGAGCGAGGCAGGCACTGTTTTCCTTTTTCCTTTTCTTTTTCTTTCTTTTGGACTTTGCCACTTCGGAGATATGGAAA